GCTCCTCTTAGGATCCAGCTCTTTGCTATGGTCTGGAAAAGCGGCTGAAGTTGGCCCAAGTAATTCAGCCCCTGCACCCATGTAGGGGACCAGAAAGAAGCTGCTGGCTCTTGGTATCAGATCAGCCCAGCTCCATCTGTTGTGGCCATTTGGAAAGTGAGCCAGTGGGTTGAAAATTCTCTCTGTCTGCCACACTCTCTGTATGCAACCTCTCAAATAAATACATAAATCTAATATTTGTATATTTATTTGACATCAGAATTACAGAGAGAAATAGAGAGATGGAGAAAAAGAGATCTCTCATCTGCTGTTTCCCTCCCCAAATGGCTGAAATGGATAGGGATGGCCCAGGCTGAAGCCAAGAGACAGGAAATCCATCTAGGTCTCCTTCATGGGTGCAGTGGCCCAAGGACTTGGGCCATCCTTTGCTGTTTTCCGAGGCACATTAGCAGGGACCTGGATTAGAAATGGAACAGCCGGGACTCAAACCAGTGCTTATATTGAATGCCTGTGCTGCAGCCATGGACTTAACCTCTTGCACCACAACTCTGGTTCTGAGCTTCTGATTCTTGGAAGTGGACATCACTGTCTTGAGAACGACCCTCCCTGTCTGTTCACTGTGGCCTTGAACAAAGGTGGCATCTTCCAGCCTATAATGTGCCTTTTGAAATGTGTGCTTGTGAAAGAAAATAAATACAACAAACACAGAACTCATTTTTGTATTTTGTTCAACCAAAAGAAGCCAAGTAGCATCATTACAAACATAGGATATCAAATTGTAAAGATTTGACTAAACTTCTTCTTCTGAATTCAAATCTAGGATGTATATCATGAACCCAGTGCATATCCATATAAAATTTGAATACCTAAGTTTATTTATAGAAATCACAAGAGATACAAACACCATCTTCCACAGCACAGCTCTAGGGACTCTGGCAAAATCCCCTTCCTCCAAGTACACCAAATACAGAGCTCCACTTCTCTCCCAAGCATCTCCAGCTGGTGACAGTCTGGAGAGAGCACATGGCATTTCTGCACAGCACCAAACACCCACAGTGTCCCCCTCACAGAGAAGGGGTTGAGGTCAGGAATGGGGTAATCCCAGAAGGGGCAGGTGTCCATGGTCTTGCTGTCAGCTTGTCTGCAGTTTGTGTGGGGCCTGAGGGCCCCCAGTGCATCAGTGCTGGAAGAGACATCTGTGCACCTTGCAGCCTGGCCTAGGGTGGGCCTTGATGCAAGTTCTGGGCCCTGAGCTGGGAGAGGGAGAGGGAGGCAGAGGTCTGAGGGCAGAGCAGGCCAGGGGTTCCAGGTCATGGAGACTCAACTGGAACTCAGCTGCAGAGGATGCCTCTCCAGTTGAGGCTTGGACATGTGGGAGTAGCCCAGAGTTGCGGCAGCTCTTTAGCGAGGTGTGAGGAAGAGGGGGCTGGGACAGTGAGAGGAGCAGCTCCTGGCATTGCATTGGCTGGGCATGCTGATGGTGGCTGGGGGCCTTGGAGAATACCAGCCACCCTGTCTGTCTGTGGCACACACATCAGCTGCTCCCAGGTAAGCCACAGACCCATCTTCAAGGTTGATCTTCCAGGTGGGGTCAGCACTTTGAGCGGGATGCAGGGGCCTGGGCAGGGAACCAGAGCCCTCTACTGCCTCAGGATGTGCTCATGGACCACTACCACCACCACGTGGCCCAACGTGAGCTGCAGGGCTCTCTGTAAGGCCCAGCACCAGGCTCTCAGCTCCCAGGTGGAATTGCAGCTCTGTTCCACTTCAAAGACTACCAAGATCATCTGGGTGCTGGCACTCTTCAGCCCTAGATGGGGCAGAAGCCAGGAGTTAGGGCTTGTCAGAAAGCAGCTGACAGGGTACAGGTGGCTGTGTCCCTACCTGAAACTCAGCCCCCAAATCCAGCTCTCCGTGGACACCCAAAAATGTCACTTTCCTGAAACCCTCAAAAAGATCACCAAGGGACGTTCCCTGGGCCCTGGAGCACAATCAGTCATGTGGACCCCAGGACATACACTCAGGGCTGCATGGAGTACTGCTTCATCATGGCATGGACAACAGCTGCCCTTCCTGGGCAGCTTCTGCACCTAGGGGAACACGGAGTTCATCGAGGGGAGGTGGCTGTCCCACGGGAGTCCCAGTGGAGGGGCATAGTTGCTCCCTCCACGGAGGTGGCTGCAGCCCTGGGCATCCTAGAGAAAGTCCCTCCCCCATTCCAGTCAGGCTTGGAAGGGGGAGCCTTTCCTAGTGGGGGCAGTCAGGTGAGAGCATAGAAAATGCCTTACCTGGCCTGGGACCCTGCTGCAGTCTCTGCCGTTTGGGGAGGTTGCCTTGTGTCCCGTGTGGTCTGCAGGAGAATGGGACTCAGCCAGCTGAGACCAGCGAGACCTGTTACACAAAGCCCCTAACTCATTGCAGCCCTGCAGCCCTGAGCCCATCCCAGTCCCCCAGATTCAACGCCCAACACTGGGGCTGCCTGAATCCCTCTTCTCCCCTGAGGGTGGGCACTTCTGATCTGCCAAGGCCCATGTGGATATTACAACATCAATTGGGGGCCATACCAACCACTCAGCTTAAAAAGGAGTCTGCTCTGCTGTTCTGCATTCTGGGTCCCACCTGCAGATCCTTTAGCACAGGCTGAACAAAAGAGCATCACTGGACCCAGGGGGCTGATGTTCCCACCCCTGAAACTGTGCTCACCTCAGCACACACCGACATGGGACAGGAACCTAGGGGCATCTCTCTCTCTCTCTATCTCTCACTCTCTCTCTCTCCCTCTCTCTCTCTCTCACACACACACTCAATTTGTCACCTAGACACTCTCCTCCAACATACCTGCTGTCTCCAACAGGGCCGCTGGTCCCTTCTGGGCAGGAGTCACTGGGGCTGCTTGGGCGCTGGCAGCCACTCATGGTACAGATTCTCTGGTCTGTCTGTGCCAACCCCAGGTGATGTCTGCTTCCTGCAGATCTCCCATTGGCTCCTGCTCTTTCTCTTCACCTGAGGCAGAGGGATCAGCCCCCCAGCTGGTACCCCAGGCAACTTGAGTGCTAGGGAGATGTTCCTGCGGCCTCACACTGGCAGAGTGAGCTTGGACAGAGGGAGCTCCTGGGAACGCCTCCAGGTGTGGGAGGCAGGGTTAGAGCCAGGGAGGAATGGTAGCCTTGGCTTCCTCCTCATATTCTCAGCCTGATGAGCTTATGGGGGGAAGTGTTTGCTAGGCAGAACTCAATCAATCAGAATAATGATCGGCTGGCAGTCTATCAATGAAAGTCAATCCAATAGAACCTCCCCTGATTAAAATCCCATCCAGTAAGAACTGCCTATGGTATGCAATTCTGTTAAACAATTCTCTTGCTCCTTATGTGATTGTTTTTCCAATAACCCTTGTGCAATTTTACAGGATTTGATTTTTATAGAGTAGTTTATTTATTTGAAAGTCAGAGTTTACAGAGGGAGATGGAGAGGCAGAGAGAGAGAAAAAAAATTCTTCATCCACTTGTTCACACCCCAGTTGTTTACATAGCCTTAGCTGTGCAGATCCGAAGCCAGTAGCCAAGAACTTCGACTGGGTCTCCCACATGGGTACAAGGGCCCAAGGACTTGGGCCATCCTCTATTGCCTTCGCAGGCCATAGCAAAGTGCTGGGTCAAAAGTGGAGCAGCCAGCACTAAAACCAGTGACCCTATGGGATTCCGATACTGTAGGCAGTGGTTTTACCTGCTATGCCACAGCGCCAGCCACAGGATTTGATTTTTGAAATCATCCTTTTTTCCTATTTACTACTGGTTTCCTTCCTTCCTTATTTATTTAGAAAGGCAAAGTGGCAGTGGGATAGGGAGACCCAAAGAGCCATCTTGCATCTGCTGGTGCTTTCTACTCCTTTTCCATACTCATCAGGGAGCAGGATTGGAAGCACAGGAGCCAGGACTCCAACCTGTGCCTCTAAGGGATGTGGAGGATTCCAGGCTGGCTTATTCCCCTGGGCCACAACAGCAGCACAATTTCTCCTGTAGCCTATTATAAACAATGGCATATGCAAATTTCTGTGTATGGAAACTTTCTAGATTTTTACATATAAATATGTTTTCCATATATATTTTTCCTTGGTCTGTGGCTTATCCACTGATGGGATTGTGACTGGGGGAATTAATTGCATTTTTCCCGGTAGCTGTGGATTTCCCACTGTTTTGCTTATCTATTGTCTTCCTCTATAAGGACGAGCCAGAAGGCAAAGATCCAGCATTTTCCAAGAATCCACAGGCTGTATGCATCCTACTCTGAGGGCAGCCAGGCAAAACTTGTGACCATGGGAGAACCTGCGTCATTCTCATCTCCAAGCCAGCCCTCCCTGGTGAGTTGAGAATTATTGTGACCACCCAGTGTCCACTGGTGTACTTCTTTCTTTACTTAAATTTCTCTCAGTAACTGACAGGATTTTTCTAAAGATTTAGTTATTTATTTGGAAGGCTGGGTTACAGGCAGAGATTGGGAGAGAAAGAGAGGGGGAGAAGCCCTCCACGTGCTGGTTCACTCCAACCATGGCCACAACTTCAAACATGGGGCTTCACTCCCTGGTTTGAGTGACAGTCAATGTCATCTACCCTTAATTATGTGAACTTTCTTGGGATCATAGGACCAGATTGTTCTGAAATATTTCTTAATTTATTTCAAAGGAAGAGTTACATAGAACAATAGTAAGAGCTAGTGAAAGATGATCTTCCATCCTCCCCCTCTCTCCTTCTCTCTCTGGCACTCTGCTATCAAATAAAAACAAACCCTAAAACACACAGCTTTTTGTTCTCATCCCCTCAAACCGCCTGTGGTTCCAATGCATTTGGCCTCATTCCTTTTGGATGACAATGGTGCACAGTGCGAGGCAGCTTCCACCAGGAGAAGGGGAGGTGGAGGCACCTGGGACCCCTTCCATGGCTGGAAGTCTGTGTCTTCCACTCTGCTCAAGTTTGATTTTGTTTTCCAAGGGGAGACTGAGAAGAATGATTATTCCTGAGACCTTGCAAAGGAAGCAAGTAGCGCGTGTGTTGAAGGCCAAGCCGAGACCCAGAGCAGGCTCTGCACAGCCAGTCAGACTGACCAGCTGCATCTTCAAGAGTCTGATCACTCGAGTCACTGCCCACCCGGGCAATGTGGTTCAACACTTGCTGACAGAGGGGTACCTGGAGAAGCCCCAGCAGGTCTGTGCACTCAGGCGACTGCAGGGGCTCTGCGCCAGCAGCAACGAGGGAGAGCCTTTACCCACTTTGGAATTTGCAAACTCCTGGAAGATGACAGCACCAGCAATCCCAAGCAGATCCCCAGGTCCGGTTGGTGCTGGGGGTCTGCAGTCCAGGCCCAAGCCCAGCCTCCAAGGTGGTAGTGGTGATTCCACCAGCAGATCTGGGTGTCTCCTGGCCTCTCTCCAGCTGGCAGGTAACTCCTGAGAACATCAAAAGGCAGACAAGGAAAGTGAAGGAGCTGAGGAGGAGACTGGCTGAGGCCCTGCAGGCAGACAAGATCATCAGAGAGGAAGAGAAGGTGGGGAGGGGAGACTGAACATGGGGAAGCTGGAGAGAAGGGGCAGCCACATGGTGGTACAGGCTCTGTGGGGGTGGGGAGCCCCCAAGAAAGAGCTTTCCATGTTGGTCTTTGTGTGTAATGCCAGTTCGGCCCTCTTCATGGATCCAGTAATCCCCAACGGTACTTTATTAAACTCTGATAGAAAGGAAGTGTGGACTGTGCCTCTTTTTGTGGGGGACATAAGTTTCCCTTGAGAAAGTGTTTAAGTTTCTCTTTACAGTTTTTTTTTTCATTTTTACATCACCATCTTCATCGGTAATCTATTGAGGGATTATTGCCTTACTCATTTTTCTTCTTCCATTACTTAACATTAAAGGAAATGATGGCCCCTGCTCCAAAGACATTCTCTTCCTCTGATGTCCATGTGAATGATTTTCACTTTTAAAATTTTTTATTCATTTTTTGAGAGGTGGAGTTACAGAGAGTGAGAGGGAGAGACAGAGAGAAAGGTCTTGTATCCACTGGTTCTTTCCCCAAATGGTCGCAGTGGCTGGAGCTATGCCAATCTGAATCAGGAGCCAGGAGCTTCTTCTGGGTCTCCCACATTGGTGTAGGGGCCCAAGTGCTTGAGCCATCTTTTACTACTTTCCCAGGCTTCTCAGATAGCTGGATTGGAAGAGGAGCAACTGGGACACCAACCAGTGCCCATATTGGATGCTGGCGCACTACAGGTAGAGAATTAACCTACTGTGCCACAGGGTCAGCCTCTGAAGTATTTTCAGGTAAACAAATCAGTAGCATTTGGTACATTTGAAATTTTGGACAAGTTTCACCTCTGTTATTTTGATTGATACCATTGTTTACAATTCTTCTATATCAAGCTACTGAAGAACAAAATCTTTTTAACAAATATGTAGTTGGCTAATTCCAACATCAGGGTCATGAGCTTCAAAATGTCACAGTTTTGAACATTCTGTTTAAAAATTTCATCACAAGACCAGCTTGGTGGCCAAGCAGGTAAAGCTGCTACCTCAGACACTGGTTTCCCATATGGGAGTCAGTTCGAGTCCCAACTGCTTCATTTCTAACCCAGCTCCCTGCTGATAAACCTGGGAAGAAAAGTGATAGCTGACTCAAGTGCTTGGGCCACTGCCACCCACATAGGGGACCCAGAAGAAACTCCTGACTCCTTGAATCAGTCTGGCCCAGCTGCTTATTGTAGAGACCATTAGGGGAGTGAACCCATGGATGCAAGATCTCTCTCTCTCTCAATCTCTCTCTCTCTCTATATATGTCTTGAGCTCTGACTTTCAAATCAATAAATAAATCTTTTTTAAAAAGTTCTCATGTTTGATCACACCTTGTTCCCTGAAATGTCAGAAGACAGAAACATTCACACACAAGAGACCAAATTTTTAAGCATGAGGGGAAAATGGCTTTTTCAAGCTTTCCTGATGTATAGTAATACAAATTTAGTACGTTTCATGTATGTATGTTGACAACTTTGGACATCGCATACATCATAGTATCATCATAACCATCAAAGAAGTAGACATTCATGGGCACCAAATCCCCTTAGGTTGGGTGGTAAAAAAAAATCTTAAGTATGAAAATAATCATATGGATAGGATTAAGTGTTAAAGTGCTCATAGAAATAGGATTAAGTGTCTAGTAATGATAATAATAATCATAATAATAGATTTAAAAGGAGAGACTGTTCCAACATGGGAAGCAGTCCACACAGCAGACTCATAGAATGATAATCACTTTAAGTAGCACTCTTAATTCAGAAACAACCCTCAAGGCATTCTGTTCTGGCTACAATGCCCACATGTAAATTTCAGGCATGGAAAGTGAAGACACTACTGCAAAAATGTGTCCTACAGGAAGGACATCGGTGGGTGAAACCCCAGTGGAAAGAAGGTGTCTTCAAGAAAGGAGGTACTATTCTCTGAAGGGAGGAGAGAACTTCTACTTTGTTTATTGTCTTGTCTAAATCCTGATGATGTTTGTGGATTCAAAAGTCTTCCGTAAGGGCCGACTCTGTGGTGTAGTACGTAAAGCCACTGCCTGCAGTGTTGGCCTCCCATATGGGTGCAATTTCAAGTCCCTGCTTCTCCATTTCCTATACAGCTCTCTGCATGACCTGGGAAAGCAGTGGGAGTTGGCCCAAGTCTTTGAGCCCCTGCACTTGCATTTGAGACCTGGAAGAAGATCCTGACTCCTGGCTTTGGATGGGCACATCTCTGGCCATTGCAGCCATCTGGGGTGTGAACCAGTGGATGGAAGACCTATTTCTCTCTGCCTCTCCTCTTTGTAACTCTGCCTTTCAAATAAAATAAATAAAAAAACATTTAAAAAAAGTTCCATAGCTTAGGCAGCTCTTGTCAGGAGCCTCAGTTAATGACTGGCGTCATACACAAGAGTGTTAATTGTTGAATTAACCACAAGAGTCACTGTGCACTAACTTCTCATGCAGGGCATCTGTCCTCAATGAGTTGTCCTCAATGAGATTTAACTGTGAAACCTGTTCTCAAAGTTTTATTTCATTTTAGTGAATTAAGTAGAAGATTTGAACATCCCTTGTCTCGACTGTTGAGGAACAGTTTTTTTTTTTTTCATGCAAATTGTTGAACTCTTTACTTACTACAGAGTTGGTCTTCTGTGTTAAAGTTAATTGGAAATGAATATTAGTGGAGAATGGGACTGGGAGTGGGAAAAGGAGGAGGGAGTCTGGGCGTGTGGGTGGGAGAGCAGGTATGGTGAGAAGAATCACTATATTCCTAAAGTTGTACTTATGAAATTCATGAAGTTTGTATTCCTGAAATAAATGGCTTCTTTAAAAACAATAAAGTAGGCATTTGCATCCACATGCCTTTCTGAAGTATGAGAATTCACATCAAAAAATACCCAAGGCCATTCCAGAAACCCGCTCAAAAATATTACAGAATCCTGATGATTGAATCAACAGCTCCCCCATCATTTCCATGGGTGAGGAAAATTTCTCCCACTTGAGTCCAGGAGGCCATGACCACTCAAGCAAAACTGAGCCTCTCCCAACAGAGAACTTGAGATTTGGAAATAAAAATGGGATTGCTTAGGACACTTGGTCTGGGATAGAAGCAAAGATGGCCCATTTATTATATGTAGAATATATTTAGTAACTCAAGGGATATATAGGTTAAATTAGTCGAAGAGATTAAAGTCTAGGAAAAAGACAAATAGCTATATATAAAAAAATAGCCAAGAGTTTATTTCACATCTAATTATTTTTTTCTTGTAGTTACATTACTTGAAATAGTCTGTGCTTTTATTTACAGTCCATCATTTGGAGTAATTTACAATGAATTGTCTAAGGGTCCCAAAGATGTATACCTAATATACCCTATATTAGGCATCATAAGCCCTGAAGATAAGGATTAGCTCACACTATGAATAGTTATAATATCATGCAGAGATTTGGAAGTTTTGTTTTTGGTCATGCAGTAATCCTTATGATATCAAAAGAAAATGACATCCTCCTATATTAGAGATGTAACATAACATAAGTAGTATGTATACATAGGTTTAAATTTATAGAATGTACACATTTTTTTAAGTTTGGGCCTACAAGATAACACAAGGTGTCTTTAACAGAAATTGTGCATTCTGAAAAATCTATGGATCGATTTGTATTTGCTGAACCAAAATGAGCTTGAATTATTGAATGTAAATAGAATTTTAAAATAAACCTACCACTCTATGTGTGACCTACCCAAAAATCATAGTGACTTATCCATCCATGATTTGCTTATGTTACTGAAAAAATAGGTTTAGCTTCCATAAAGATGCAACGAAATCTTTAGGATGTTTGCAAATAGCCCATACCCTAGCCAACTTTGAACTACATCATACACCTATCTTGATTGTGTTAAGTCAATTCCCAACTTGTTGGAAGGGTTCATGGACAAACATTTCTCACCATCTGAACCTATTACATGGTGGCCACCAAAAAAACAAACAATAACTAATTTCTACCAAAAGAAACATTGAGGATAGGGAGGTCAAGGAAAAATAATAAGGACAGATGAGTACACATGCACTTCCTGCCTCTCATTTGAGTGCTCTCACTCTCTTTCCAAATATCCCTGTCCTACAGCTTCAGCATCTTCTAAGGAAAGCCCATTTACAAACAGTGCTGGGCTCTGGCCTCAGAATCAGCCCTAAAGGCATTCGGATTCGGCTGAAAAGCCCATGAGAGTATTTCAGGCATGGAAAGCCCAAACACTCTGGCAAAAAAAAGGACCTAAATGAAAGATCTCTGTGAGTGAGATCCCAGTGGAACGAACAGGTCTCCAAAGAAGGAGGTACCTTTCTCTGAAGAGAGGAGAGAAATTCCACTTTGACTATGACCTTGTCTAAATAAGATAAGAGTCGATGAACTCAAAAGGCTTCCATAGCCTTGGAAACTCATGACTGGAGCATTAGGGACATCACTGATGCCATAAACAGGAGTGTCAATTTGTAAAGTCAACAACAGGAGTCACTGTGCACTTACTCCTCATGTAGGATCTCTGTCTTTAATGTGCTGTATATTGAGATTTAGTGCTATAACGAGTACTCAAACAGTATTTTTCACTTTGTGTTTCTATGTGGGTGCAAACTGTTGAAATCTTTACTTAATGTATACTAAACTGATCTTCTGTATATAAAGAAATTGAAAATGAATCTAGATAAGAATGGAAGGGGAGAGACAGTGGGAAAGGGGAGGGTTGTGGGTAGGAGGGAAGTCATTGGTGGGGGGAGCCAATGTAATCCATAAGCTGTACTTTGGAAATCTATATTCATTAAATAAAGGTTAAAAAAAACAGTGCTGGGGAAGGAGATTCCTCTTATGATCAAGGCACCGTATTGCACACCACAATGTCCATAGT